ACTTGTTTATTGGCTTGGATGGATGGAGTCTCATTCAAGGCTCTATTATATTATTCATGCAACAGACAAAATCTTTGTCCAATATCGTCAATTTTCTCACTTCGTTACCGTTTGTTCCTTTGTTCATTTGGTTCGATTTTCCATTTTTTTTCGTTCATTCAACTTGTTTGCTCTTGCCTTAGTTCTTAACTTGGTACTTTCTCCTATTGTCCCCTTTGTTACCCAATTCTTTTCTTTCCTTGTTCTTATTATCAAACGCCGTCGTCATCGCTTCATTCTTTTACTCCTTTGTCGTTGCAATTATTGAAAATTCAATTTTCCAGCTTACCCACAGTTCATTCGAATAGAGTCAGGACAATATGGATTGTCAGATACTTCATCTTTCTAGCAGGCGTTTCATGAAAGAACAAATCCCTATCTTGTCAGCGATTCCAAGTTTATTTGATAAGCAGAAATTCCCTTTGGGGATTTCACCACAACGCTCTCATTGTTGTTGTTTTCGTTAGTTACGAAATCTTTCCCTCTCATACAACTTCCTCGTTTCAATAAGAATTATAATAATGAGTTTGATTGAATGTTTTCGACAAGATCCATCTGAGCAGCTCAACGAGCATGAATCAACGAGATGCTTAACGCTAACGATCATAGTAAATGGCCATTATGCAACTAGGCAAACCACACTTTGCTCTACTCTGCTTTTATTGCTCTAAATTTCTTCTCGTCTCTGATCAACGCCTTGAATNGCTTACCAAAATTTCGCAAAATTCTTCGACTCACTGATCATACTAATTCCAGTTGATAAAGTCTGCACTTGTTGTTTTCAGTGTCAATTCTCGAAGGCATGCAATTGTTTTCGGGCCTTGTGAAGATAATTAAATTTCTGAATGATACCCAAAGGGAGACGACGATCACCAATAGATCGACAAACACATGCAAATATTCATTGTTAAATCGCACTATGTAGGAATGACATGTATTCGTAAGCATAAGTAAAGTTGCTGCGCGAACGATATCACAATAAGAAATGACTGAAATGAGACATATGGGAATGTAAATTCGCATGTATCCGTAAAGTTAGTCTAAGGTGAAGGATTAGGAAGGATTGAGAGCGGTTTCGGAACATCAAAGTTCATGAATGGAATGATGAACGTTAATCGCTTGAATCTGATTTCACTTAATGGTGTTTCGTAATCGGTGAAATGAGATTTGATCGCTTACGAAATGACCATATAAAATTCAGCATTTAGCTGACAACCGTTTATGTGAAGCTGTGTGGTTGTTGAATGATTAGTTGAATACTCCAGCGAATGCATTTAGTATGAAACGTTTGTGGATTGCAAGTGATGGATTGCGTTTAGCTTTATGTATTGCACTTATTCAGAATCGAATGAATTTGAGATGTTATTGCGATTCGCTTTAATCCTCTCACATAGTTTTTTCTGAACCAACTGTGACCAATAAACAGAGTGGGACGATTTGAAAGATAGTTTATTTGTGTGCATAAGGTGTTGAAAACAAAAGCACGAAGCACTTTCGTGTGGCTAGAATACTTAGGAAATCAATTCTGTCCATTTCCGCACGATGAAGAACTCGAGCAATTAGATTTTGAAGAATTCCGACAGACGAAACAATGCCAATGGATCCTGCTCGCAAAATTCGAACCCAATTCTTGAAGTAATGCAAAGGCATGCAGGTGTATGAAATATTTTTCAAAAATCTGAATTTACGAGGTTTCGAAGGTATTCCGAGTCCGAACCTTGAGTCAGCAAGGTGAGTAAAGAGCTGAGTAAAACAAAGACATTCTGATGATGTTGGCTTCATGCGAGAGGAGGAGTATCGTGAAGGATGCTTTGATACCGAAATCGAATTCTCATGAATTTCTTTTGCCCAGTCATCTTTGCGCCAGTCTGATTGCTGATCTGAGTTGAGTTGCAGATGTGGTGTAGACGCCGATACGCTCTCGCTTCTGCCACATACGGAGGAGGAGGAAGTTTCCGAGAATGACGAGAATAAGGTGAACAACGATGAAAAGTACGCCTTTGACGGTAAATCAAATGCGGTCATCGTGCCGCCAGAGACCATCAAAGGGCTTATCCCATCCAAATTCACGTTGTCGTTCTCGATGAAACACGCCAAAGGAACGAAAGACGAGCAGAACAATAAGCAGAGTATTTTGTGCGAAAGTGATGATCACAGTAAGTTCTCAGTATTCTTGGTCGTGTTGTTGTGCGCATACTTCATTAAAACACATTTATCCGAACCGAAATTAACAGTCCGAATTTCAAAAAACAGATCCAACTTTTCATTATTCTCTTCCAAATCCTATTCAGATTAGCTGTTCAATAGCCGAGTGCATGAACAAGTCAGTAAATAGCGGATTAGAGACCGCCGTGCTGTGGTCCGAGCAAATGGCGAGCGTTTTATACCAAAATCTACTGAGAGTACCAAAAAACCGAGAGACTTAAGAGGAGCGGATGATTCAAGAATGTTAGGGTATCATCAGTACATTCGGATAACTTGAAAACTTCGATGAAGTTCGGATTCATGTAGTTCAAAGCACAATCAAATGTTTATATTGCAGAGATGAATCGTCATCATTTCTCGGTCTACGTGCGACACTGCAAGTTGGAGATGTTGATGCGTCGTGAGAGTCAGGCTGAAGCTGCATTCCGTGCAGCTGAATGGCGTTGGAGCATTCCGGAAGTATGCGATGACAGATGGCATACGTTCTCGATTCTGTTCGCTTCTGTTGATCAGGTACGTGCCAATCTCGTAGCCTGTATAAATTCGTCCTTAAAACGTCCTTAAAACTGATCTTAAAACTGATTTCCGTCCTTAAAACTGATCTTTGCAGATCACTGACTTCTTTAATAGCAAGCTTCC